GCATGCTGCTAAGGGCAGTACTAGAATTTGCAGCATTCACAGAGGCAGCAGTCTTAGCTTCTTGCAGGAACTTCAAACCCAAAATGTCTGTGGGGCTGGGCAGGTAGTAAAATGAGGAACGCCAGGGTATAAGAAAAATTATGTGCCTTTCATGGTCTGTCTTTCCTTGTCCTGCTTTTGATGAAGACTTGGGCTCAGGGGAAAATACCCTTAGTATAAGAAAAATAGAAGGGCAACTGACATGGCCACAGGGTCCAGGAGCACCAAGAGGTGGAGGGGATGGCAGAGAACTGGGGAGTCTCACCCTGGCCTGTCCCATATCAAGGGGCAGCCACTGCTCAGGCTTTGTCCATTGTTATCCTGGGGGAACACCATCCAGTGAGGCCAGACCTTCTGAGTCACTTGAGAGAGCATCGAAAAGTGGTTTGGGTGTGTAATTTCCCAATTTTTAAATGTTGCCTCTAATTTTTAAAAACACCATGTAGACATTGAGCCTAAGATGCCTTTGATTACAAGACATTCTGGTATTTAATAAGCTACTAATAAAGAACAAAAGACCTGTCAATTAAACTACAACAAGCTATTGATTACAAGACAAATACCAATTCCAAAGATGTCACAATGTGAAAAAAAATGTGCATCTAAGAATCCATGAAATACTGTATATAATAATACTGTACCTTGTGCAGTTCCCAACCTACACAACTGTACAGAGCAGCTCTTATGATGCCACCCTGGGACACTGGAAGACTTAGAAGCCACCAGGAGGTTTGTACTTGGGTCATATCTATGAACACCCAAGTCCCTTGAAGAGTAATCCCTCTTTGATCTTTATCTGGACCAGCAGTGAGTCAAGGCAGCAAAGAGGAAAATGTGGCCCAATTTGCTCCTATGGGTCACTAGGTCACTAATGGTGATACCAAGGCCCCCAAAATGGTGGTTTAGTAGGCATGGTGGCAGAGATGGCTTCATAATGGATTTTGGTTCCTTCCAGGGACAGAAGCCACTAGGAGAAGTCTCACACCTGATTTTATATGTTGTCCAAGGTCACATAGCTGGGTAGAGGCTGAACCCCCTTACCCCATTCCCAGTGCCCCTTCTCCTGCTGACTGTAAAAGTTCCTGCCCCTCTGCCCCAGGGGTCCCCAGTGCTGCCCCAGGAAGTCTTGGCCCCTCTCTTATTCCATCCTCTCTGGTTGCTGAGCCTGCCCTAGGAAAAGCAACTTTATTTGATTCTCAACTTTTCTATTTTATTAGGAAAATACAAAATGGCACAGACATTGGTGAAAAGCAAAAGGATCAACCAACCAACTCCTTCCAAAGTCCTCCCCAAATTGTCTTTGTCCCTGTCCTGCTTGGGGGAACTCACAAAGTCTGTGGAAGGGGGACTCACTGCCCCCAGCTGCTTTCTCACAGAGGGGAGCCCCACATGTGCCCTCCCTCTTGAAGGCTCCCAGCCAACAGGGGCCCAGAAAAGTGCATTCAGACCTGCAGTCCTCCTCTCTGAGCTGTCAGAGTGCCCCCAACTCTAGCCAGGCCCAAACATCCATGCCATGCCCTGCAGGGGGTTGCAGGAGGGCCGGGTGGGCAGGGCGATGCGGCCCCCTCTCTCTGTGGACCCAAGCTGTATGTGCTTTCTCTTAGCACTTGTCTGCAAAAAAGTGTCAGCCATACCTGCGGGAAGCCTAGGCCATGGGAGGCTCCTCTGGTGGGGGGCAAAGAACTCCTTCAGGGAAAATTAGAGGCAGATGGGGAGCTATGGCCCGGGACCCTGAGGGGTAAGACCTGCCAAGTCCAGCTCTGGCCGTGAGGTGCTGGCCCGCCCAGTGAGACTCCAGCCTCATCCAGGCCTGCCCTTGTCATTGGCAGCCAAAAAGGGAACCCCAGACTTTATGTCTACAACTTCCCCTCCCCAGCCGGTCCCTCTGCACAGGAACCTCTGGTTTCCACGGTGGATTCTGATCTCATAGAAAACATCACGGAAATTCCTGGCCCTGCCTGTGGTAGGGGTGAAGGGGAGGGCAGGAGGTCTCGGAGTGCAGAGAACAGTGTATTTGGGAAGCAGGAAAGGTGGAAGGGGACCCAGGCTACATGAAAGAAAGAGCAAATGCTGGACTGGGGTCCCTAAAGAAGGAGGGTGGCTGGTCCCTGCAGCTGCTCCCTGGCTCCTTTCCCGGAGCTTGCAGGCCTCCCCTCCTCCTTCAACCTGTCACTTGTTGCTTGCTGGGCTGTCTCAGTGTCCCTATGAGCCAGGCAGACACAGGGAGGGGCTGTTCTCAAAGCCAGGGAGGTGCCTACAGAGTTGGTCTCTGCCCCTCAAGTGCCCCAGCCCAGTCCCCTCCCAGGGGGCCCTCAGTGCTGACTCCCCCAGTAGGGCAGGCCCTGCGCTACCAAAGCTCTCCTTTGCAGGCCCACCAGGTCACAGCGTTCACCAACTTGCCAGTCTCATCAATTGGTAGAGACTGGCTAAGGTGCTCTGCTGATGAAGGTTATACGACTGCGCCCAGGGTCTGGGGAAAGGGGTCTCTGGATCAATGAGTGATGCCTACCAGAAGTACGGGTTATTGCCACATATTTGCCATCCCTCTTCACTTTTACAGATGGGAAACAAGAGGTACGAATGCCTTGGTGGGCCTGGGACTAGACCCCCAGCCTTCACGCTCATAGTCAATGTTCCTCTACCACATGGCACAGATTGAGGAGGGAAAAAAATCAGAGCCACCAGATAACTTCATCTTCCATTCTCATGATGTCTAACTGAGAGCAGATCCTCTGCTGGGAGCAGTCCCAGGAAACACACCACACTAGCCTCATGCAAGAAAAGATAGGCCCCCGGCTGGGGAGAAGGGGTCTGTACAAGGGGTCAGGGAGCTAGCACCGCAGGTAGCTGGGGTGACTGGCAACCGCAGCCGGAGCCAAAAGACATGATCAAGTCTGAGGGAGGGGGCAGAAGGGGCCTGGCCTGAGGCTTGTTTATGAGATGGGATGACCATGGTACCCACAGGGGGACAGTGATCAGAGGAGCTGGGTGGTCAATGAAATAATTGTTCACTGGGGCTGGCATGGTGTCTAAGGGACCCTCTAAACAGCCAACAGCAGAGGGGAGTTTTCTGACTCGGGACGTTGGAGTGAGTTGTGGAGGCCACCCTCTTTGTCCCAGCAGGTCAGGAACGGCCAAGAGTGGCCTCCAGTAGCTGAGAACAGTCAACCTGGAGGATCCCGCCTCCCTGTTCCAATCATCCCAGCTCAGGTCAGGCCCTTGGGTGAGGGTGGGTGTGAAAATGGACGACCCCAGGTAGCTGAATCTAACAATTGGACGCAGGCAGGTGGGCAGCTCACACTGGCACCAGGACATATGTGTTACTGCCACAGCTCCGGGAGACGTAGTGAAGCCCATTGATCGTGTCCCCTGCCATCTTGCGGGGGCAGCCCTGCAGTCTCTGGTAGGCAAACATGGCCAACCCCAGGCAGAACAGGAGACCAAGGAAGGCCAACAGCCCCACCGCCTGCCTCCGGGTGGCTGCCTGGGAGTCGGGAATGCCCAGCCTCTGGGGGTCCACTGTGGCGTGAATGGGCTCCTCGGCTCTGGGGGCCATGCTGCCCAACAGCAGGGGATCCATGCTGGGGGCCCCTTCGGAGGAGACAGGGACCACGAAGATGTCCGGCGTGCTGCCAGTCCCCACGAAAGCATCCATGGGAGTTGAAATGGGACCCATCTTGTTGGGCCCTAGAGAGTTCTCTGGTGTCGGGTACTGTGTCTTGATCCACACAGGTTGGCCTTCAGACCCAGTGTTGTTCTCCAGGGCTGCATGTGAAATAGTAGGGGCCTGGGTGGAGGAGGCCTGGGTGGAGGAGGCCTGGGTGGGGAGGGTCTGGGTGGCGGGGGTCTGGGTGGAGGGGGCCTGGGTGGGGGGGCCTGGGTGGAGGGGGCCTGGGTGGGGGGGCCTGGGTGGAGGGGGCCTCAGAGGCTTTCTCCTTAGCCCAGAGGCCTGACCCAGGTTGGTAGGCAGTAGAACTCTGCCAAGACGTGGTGGTGGTGATGGCAGCCTCATTGAAAAGTTCAGTTCTCTCGGGCCTTCCATCCAGAGCCTCTGATGTGGAGG